TGGAAACCATGATAAAGGTCTTGAAAATCAGGAAATTTAATTTTTTTTTCTTCGTTCTTGTCCAAGATAAATACATTTTTTTTTGTTCGAAAAATGAAGTTTCGCGAATAACCCTTAAGTGTTCTTTCCCTTCGGAATGAAATTATAAGTTTCATAAAATCCAAATGTATGTAGAATTATTTAATAAATGGATCATCTCGAGATGGGAACGAGACCGTTCCTCCCCAAGCGGCGGAAGTAAGAACGCAAAAGAGGGGATATAAATTTAGTATAATATATTTTCCATATAATAATTTTCGCTATACAGACATTATGTTACAAAGCATGATTCACTATGAAGAACTTTCTCGATCGCTGCGAGATTCACGCCCAAGTCGATCGCTGTCCATCGCATTCGATGCGAAGACCTCGACTCGTACCTGCACAGAGAAAGAAAAAATTCATCAAACCAAAGAAATATTTCTTTGGTTAAATGAAATTTTTTTTTCTCGGTGTAAGACCTTTGACCTTGTAAGACCTAAGTTTTATACATTCAATAATACTGGTATTTCCTTTATCGGGCGCGATTTTTCGCATCCGATCCGAGGCTGAAAATTTTGGATCGTTTCCTCCACTTTTCCAAAATTCAGAAATCGACTTCAAAAGTCAGATCGGACGCGTTTCGCGACGCGTCTTGCTACTCTCTACTGGAATCTGAAAAATACTTCGAAATATCTTCCGTTGGCTCTCAAGGGGCTTAGCTTATCAGAAAGGATTACGGATCCCGGCTTTAATCTTACGTATATTCATCCGTCTCCACGAAGAGCATGTACACATGGAAAGAAAAAATCATTGAACCAAAAAAACATGCCTTTGAGCAATATCAGAGAGATATTTTGTAAATTCAAAGAATTTAACTTCAATAAATTAAAATATTTGGATGCAACATTTCTTCGGAATTATGAACATTCACTCGAGTTAAATAATTACTTTTGGAATTATCCAAATATTCTTTTACCACTATTCAAAGGAATATTTCTTCGGTTCAATGGAACTTCTTTCTCGGTGTAAGAGTCGCTCAGGCGCGTATGTACAAGCAATGAGATGTACGTAGGATAAATGGACTCTGCACTTTGATTTTACAATAAAGACTGCCGAAATAAAAGAGAAAGAACAGAGGGGATATTTTTTTCTTCGCCTCTCCTTCCTTTTACACGAAATGGTTGCGCAACGCAATATGGCGGCGTCCTATCTAACAGCTCGAGGATATAAAAAACAGGAGTATCTCCGTTCTCTCCCTTCTTCCTGCTGCCTTAGGAAAAAATTTCGTTCGTCGAACAAAATCTTTCGACTAAATTACGTTAATCTCAATCCCCTCAGCCGACTATCATTTCACCTGACCGAAAGTTTCCCTCGGTAAAGGAAAATGTTTTTCTCAGGTATCAATAAATTCCTAAAATATTTTAATTTCCGTATTTGAGCGAATGTCAAGGGAACCGTCGGGTTTATGCCCTGAGAAAAAAGAAATTCATTGAGCCAAAGTTTCGTTAATTCCAAGAATTTCACTCAAATAAATCGCCATAATTCCGAATAAATATTGCATCCAATTTATTACAGCTTATTCCAGTCAAATAATCATTCTTTTAATAAACACAATTCTTATTCCTATTTCTTTGGTTCAAGGATATTTTTTTTCTCAGTGTAGGGTCCATGTGTCCTACGTCCATCGCGACGACGCGACGAGGATACGCGTCACACTGCGCGTCACCCTGCGCGTCACCCTGCGCGTCACACTGCGCGTCACACTGCGCGCGACGTCCAGGCGCGAAATTCGCGCAGTTACCCGACGACCGTTAGATCGCGCTATAAACCTTTAAAGGTGGACTCGAAAAGATTGGCCGACCAATGGGCGAATTGCACGCGCCCCTCGCATTCGCTCCCGTCTTCCGATTGGACGCGCGTGTCGAGCCGCGACTGACCACTCGGACGTAATCCGCGACTTCGATCGATGCCGTTCCGAATGAGCTTTATTCGCCTCCAAGGAACGAGCAGCATTTTAACCCTCCGATACCACTCAACGGTAATCTAACCTCAAAGTTGCAAGGTACTGCCTAGGATTCGACGCGACTTTCCCTACGTATACATTCTTCTTAAAGCTTGAGAAGATTTCTAATCTAATTTTGAGATGACTAACGATACCTTCGAATTTTTACAGATTATAGGTTGTTTTCGGCAAAACCCTGAGTGGCGAAATTTCGGAGTGGTAACGGAGGACTAATTATCGGCTCAGTATGGAATTCGCCCAGGCACGATTTTCGTGTGAAATTTCTATATTATTATTTTTGAGGGAATTTATAGATTGAGTACTTACACCCCCAGGTAACCCGATAGCCCTATTTCCTCTTATTTTAATATTCACTTTTTTCCCCGGTACGTCGATACCGCCGATTTGGTAAATTCATTTAAGATGGAAATATTCCTTGGCTCCAGAATCTCATGAAAAGGCGTACCAAAAGGATGTCCCCAATTTATGGTATAGATATCTATACGAGCTATCAGTGGTACGAGTACGCGCGAATCAGCCGAGGCCACATTGGCTGCACTACTTATATACGTCCACGTCCCTTAAGGTGTTACGAAAGTGATATTAAAAAGTAAAAATATTTATACGTCTTTTCGAATAATTTAAAACATTACCACGTGATTACAAAGATCCTAATGAAGGTCTTGAAACCCAGGAAATTTCATATTCCAAGAAATATTTTGTCTGGCTCATGTCTGGGATAAATACAATTTTTGTCAGAAATGAAATTTCGTGAGTCTCAAGACCTTCATTAGAAACCCCATAATCGCGTGTTAAAGTTTGGAATTATTCGGTGCACCCGGTTTGGAGAGAAGTTTTATAAATATTTTCACGGTCCGATGGGGACGGAGTGATCCTTTCGTCACACTTTAAAAGATGGTTAGAGATTTAACAATAAATCGGGATAAACCCGTGCAAGTCGATCTGTAGAAATTAGGCTAACGCATTTACGTTATGGCAAGCACTGGATTTAACTGCACGGATTCTAGATGCCAGGATTTATAGTTCCGTTCGTAGCCGCCTTCGGTCCGAGTGATCGGTCGCGCGGCCATCTTGGATTCGGGCTTATCGTTCGAGGGTGTTAATCGAAAGCTGGAAATCGATCCTCTCGAAAGAGCGTAACGCGCGGTTTTACGGGCCGGTTTATTCCACGCAAGGCTCTGTGGCCCTCCCTTATTAAAAGCAGTCGGAGCGTCCCCTCGGTCGGACATGCCGATGGCGAACAAAATACGGGTTTCGTTTACACGCAAGAGACACGAAGGACCAGGCCCGGTAGTTATTTGAATAGGGCCCCCTTGTGATCCGATTCGCGGGCCCGTGGCCTTTTTTACCGATCCCGACACACGCGACTGTAATTTCGCGTCGTTTCGGCCGCACACGTCTCTGGGCCCCGGGCACCGAAACTAATGTCATATTAATTGTAGACGCGGCTCACTCGAAGTGGTCCCAGGGGACCCGCGAGTCCTGTGACGAAGGAAGAGTCCTAAGAAACGGCGACCTGGACCGCATCCAAAGCCCCTAGAGGCGGACGTCGACGTCAAAATGGCCGACGAAGACACTTGGCACCTATCATCCAAGAAATCTCCTTTGGCGACCCCGATTCCAATTTTAGGGATCCTTTAAGGACTTTTCTCGATGACGATTTTGGCCTGCCTCGTTTCGTCGCTTTTGGTTGATAGGTTATCACTGGGTACCGTTGACGAGACGCCGGCAAGTGACTTCAATTGTCTTTTGTTTGGTGCTCGTTGAAGGAGATGTGAAAGTGGCATCCGAAAGCTCAATTGTTCATGAGACATTTCTCCAAACTGAGTGTAGCGAATAGTTTCCATTTTTACAACGTGAATGTGGAGGCCCTAAGGAAGGTCCCGAAAGTCATGAAATTTCACTTTGTATAAAGAATTTTGACAAAATCTATAAACAAATTTTAGGAGGACAAGACCTTCTTCGTAGCTTTCATGTTCACGTTGACAAGTTTGAAACGATTCGGTATATTTAGTTTGGAGAGAAGTGTCATAAAGGAGACCTTTTCACGCCGCTTCCACATCACCTTAACGAGGAATATCGATGACTCTCGATTGGGAGTCCTGGGGGTGAAGGTCTGCAGCGGTCCTTGGGGGTTAGCTTTGCTGGGGACTCTTTCTTCGGGATCGGAGATGTTCGGGTTTAGTAGAGTCGTTCGATTATTCGGGGGCTCCAGACATCCCCATTCTGGACCTAAGACGCCGGGCGTGCATTTTTCATCGCCATCCCCTTTCATCGATTCCGCCCTTGTGCCGTTGGACGTCTTCCTTCGACGTTGGATTCGTCTTCTGGCCCTCAACCTCTCGCGACGCCGGACACCTCAGTCTTAGTCGCCCAGAATCGACCCCGGATTAACCACACTCTTCATCACCTCCCAAAGATCAGGAAAATTGCTCATCCCTCCAGTTCCCTGACCAACCACGTCCAGAAATCTGGAAATCTAGAGTCTACAGGCATCTCCACCACCCCAAAATCTGCTCCTGCAAGCTCTTGGATACACCCACAGGAACACCCCCGACCACCCAGAAGAGATCCCAAGAACCACTCGAGCACCCCAAGCCATCTCCTCGGTGTCCATCAGGTTTCAGAGAGCAAACGATCCCCTTCCAGGAATCCTTTTCAAGGGTTGCTTTCTCCCCCTCGCGTCCTAAATTCCTCGAGTCCTAACCCCAACACTCTTGGGCGGCACCAGAAGACCAGCAGTCATCAAAGTCCCCATCGTTAGGGGTCCCGTGAAGACCCATCGGACTGGTCCATCCCCTGGGCAGCGGATACCGTCTCAAACCACCCTCTGGTCCATCCTCCCCCAGGAATCGTCAACCATTGCAGCCCGAAGACCGTGTCGAGCCATTCGCGGTGGATCCAGAAGACGACCCACCCCAGCATCTAGGTCCCAGTTGATCTTGGATCTCGGGCCCTAGATGTCGTGTATGCTTTCCTCGTCGCTGTCCGCCCTTATGCTCTGGGGTGAGTCCTCTCTGGGGGGTGGAGTCCTCTCGAGGCTCCTACTTCTGCCCCTGGCCATGTTTGCCCTGTCGAGGGTTTCCCGTTCCCTGGCCTCAACGGACTCTGGGCTGTCCCTGTAGTAGTTGCTCAGGGTGGACAGGCTGGAGCTGGCGGCCAGGGTGCCCAACGGCGTGCTGGGACCCGCCAGCATCATCGCGGGGGGGTACAGCCGGTACGGCAGGGGCTTCTGCAGCGTCACGGCCGCTGAGGCCTGTCGGTAAAACAGGTCGTTCGGTGGTGGAGGTGCTGCCCCTGGATAGGGCCAGTAGGGCCCCGCAGGGTGCGTTGGTACCCCTCCACCCCCTGCGTACAGCCGCTGGAAGGCTGCGTAGTTTCCTGCCTCCGCCAAGATCTCGAAACCCACGATCGCCTGGCGCTTCCACTTCGTCCTGGAATCAAAAGGTCGATTCTTCAAAATATATTCCGTCCAGAGAATAATTAACACATTGCCGAATGTGGCATTCAATTGGTCAGTGGTGTTAATACAGGCCACTTTGTTTTGGAATTCAAACGTGAATTCCTCAAAATACGTTCTATTAAAAAATTAATCCATCGCGGTATTAAGGGGTTGCGAAAGGGTTATTCTGTATATCAAAACGTCAAAATATTTACGTAACTTTTATTCAAACTGGGTGCACCGAATCATTTGAAACTTCAACGTGTGATTACGAAGGCTCTAAGAAAGAACGCGCTGCTCGTGAAATTTCCATCATCAAAAAAATTGGTGTCACTTATCTCAGACTTCCAAACGATTCGGTGCACTCTGGAGAAATGTTTTATATATATTTTGACGTTTTGATGTATTTAGAATGACCCTTTCATAACACCTTAATAATCTCCCAGATAACCTCGGCATAAAGAACCGATTCCCAGCACTTCAAACACTCGCCGCCATTTTTTCTCTCCGTCGCTCTTCATCCGACGGTCCCTCCATCGCANACTTCAAACACTCGCCGCCATTTTTTCTCTCCGTCGCTCTTCATCCGACGGTCCCTCCATCGCACCCTCCCTTTCTCTTTCGCTCTCTCTCTCCCCTCACGCATGTAAATCCCTATCTGGGACAATTACGCAAAAACAGGGTGGCGTGCCGCCAAGTGGTTTTTTTTTTTTTTTTAAATGAAATTTCATGATTATCGCGTTCTTCCTTAAGGCCTCCATAATCCCGAAAAGTTTCAAACGATTCGGTACACTCTGGAGGAATGTTTTATATATATTTTGACGTTTTAATGTATATAGAATGACCCTTTCATAACACTTTAACCATCTCCCAGATAACCTCGGCATAAAGAACCGATTCCCAGTACTTCAAACACTCGCCGCCATTTTTTCTCTCCGTCGCTCTTCATCCGACGGTCCCTCCATCTCACCCTCCCTTTCTCTTTCTCTCTCTCTCTCTCCTCACGCATGTAAATCCCGATCTGGGACAATTACGCTAAAACGGGGTGGCGTGCCGCCAAGTGGTTACGTTGGCCACACTGCGGGGCTTATTATACTAACAAATAGCCCGTGGAGTTCAGCGCCTAATCATCGCGTATCATGCCACGAGCACCCCTACACACCCCCACACATCCCCTCCACCCTCTACACGTGTGAGAGAGATATATCAACACGCGGCAAAGGGGCAAGGGGTGTAGAGGTGGTCGTTACATTACGCCGACTAACCCTCCATAACGTTCTTTGAATAATACCACGAAAATTACAACCCTTTCGCGCTACGCTGCCCGGTTTAGGTGTGAGTTACGCCGATTTATCCACCCGATAGCCCAACGAGTTTTCCTTTGCGGAAAAATGTGCCCTCTTAGAATTTCCGAGATGCGGCATTTTTCTTGGACACTCCATCGGGACATTTTTTATTTCCCCGCCATTTGTGTAAAACGTACGCGAAATTCGGGAAGCAAGTATTTAATTTGTGTTTTTTCCAATCGGTTGAATTTAGATGTAATTTGTGCCCATAATTATGAAAGTGGTCTAAGTCATATATTTTTTGTTTTGAAATTACATTGAATTAATTTCGTTTGAAATAATATGGCGTGAAATAACTGATAAACTCATTTTTTTTTTAATTTTGACTTAGACCACTTTCATAATTATGGGCACATTTACGGGTTACCGTTGTTTAATATTAGTAACGAATATCAAATGAACGAAACAGCTGATGGCCGTAAAAAAGACACAGCTGGTCTTGAGAAGGAAAAGAATTTTTGTTCGAAATGAGAATTGAAGTATTCGATGGAATTGAATTTCGTGTTTCGGTGCATCTTGGGGTGATAAATGATCCGGCTCTCTATAGAGGGGGATGACTTCCTTTTCATAAAAATGGCCGCTAAACTGCCTTTAGGTTAACTCGGATATTCATTACAGTTTTCAGCCTGCATGCTGAAGTGACTCAGCGGGTCTTTCTTTTCCGCGGATTGCGTTGAACATTAACGACCCGCGGTAATGGAGGGCGAGATAATAGCGATAACGTCCATTTCGATAACCCTACGAAATTTTACCCGCTTCCGGTCGGCGACTCGTTAGTATAAATAATGTATCAAGCAGAGGTCTAAAGCGACCTCTATTTTCGGCCATTCCTTCGATCGTTTCCAGGCGTTTCACTTTCCTCGCTCAATTCTCGACTTTGGAAAAAACGTCTCGAGAAACAATTTTTTCCCTTCATCTCCG